TTATACTGTAAACTATCCTAAAGAGAGCAGGCAGATTAATGTGTAAAATCCTGACTTCAAATATATTGACTGCATGGTAACTACAGTTCAGTTGGAATGAATCATGCCAAGTATTTTGAATAGGCTTTCCAGGGTATTTCAGAAAAATGTTTTCGACCATGAAATCTGGGACTTGGCTACTAGGGCTGTGCGGAACAGTACCGTTCTGCTTCGACTTCCATTTCGACGGACAGTGTTTTGTTTAGAGTTTTGCTTGGTTTCGAAAGCACTGTTCTGTTTCATTTCATCAAAGAGGTTTTGCTGTTTCAACATTTCACCCATAGGCTATAATGGGGAAGCACGAAACTGCCTATAACTGTCAGTTCTTGCTTGATTCAGATGAAACTTGCAGGGATGGTAGCCCCTTCTGAGGGCATGATGCCTGCCAAGGTTCAAGGGGATAAGTGCAGCGGTTTCTGGGAAACTGCATGTCAACACCTTGAGGTGCAAAACTCCTGTCACTTGCCAGCAGCCTCCTGTCATCCAGCGTGCAGATCCGGAGGGCTGCAGGGCTGTGCCAGACCACCCCCGGGGGTGCGGGCCCCCAGCCTGCCTGCCGGATCATGGGAGGCTGCTGCTGCCTCCTGGGACCAGCACTGGACACACAGCGTGCCCAGGGCCAGGAAGATTAGTGCTGCTGCTGGCCCTAGCAGCAACAGCATGCTGTCATCCAGCACGCAGATCCGGGGGCCTGCACCCCTGCAAGGGCTGGGGGCTGTGCCAGAATCCTCCTGGGGGGCACGGCCCCCAGATCTGCACCAGATGCTTGTGCTGTTGGCTGGGACTGGCACTGAAGTGAAGTAAGCCCAGCTTCGAAACTTAAAATGTTTATAGTGCTCTTGTTTCATTTCAATGTTGCTGTTTTGAGCTCAAAACAGCTTTGAAACTAAAACGCCCAGCGAAATTTCACAAAGTGCCTCTTGCTTATGAACAAACTAGGCTGCAACTGTTCTGTAACTTGGTGTACTGCTGCTATCTTAGCACAGACTAGCATGCTAGTAACTATGTAACCTAACTGTGTAGGGAAATTGTTCTGAATTTGGCTGAATTCATAAATTAAGGTGGTTCCTTTGACTGTTTCTTTGCTTACTCTTGCTATTTTTGATCTCCTGAGTGTCACATGGTTAACTTCTAGTTTAAACTTGAGTTTGAATTCTTCTGAGTCAAGCCACTCCCAGCACATTTCCTTTTCCCTGGGAATTGGGTGAAACTGGAAAATTTTTAAGACTTCATCACACTGAGGAACAAATAACTAGTATCAAGTAATACATCATTTGTGGCAGCTGGCAAACCACTGCATATCTGGAGTAGTTCCTTGTTCTCCATATGGGTTACCTTGTTGGCACAGTTCAGCTCCTGAACGCTTGGTTTGGGTGCCTTGACTGGGACCCACCATTATACACTTCAGATTTGGGAAAATTTCCCCTCTATGTACTACTTTTTAGCCCAAACTGGCAGCTATACAAAACAAATGGGTCATCAAACCACTTGCATTTGAGCTTTTTCACTGACTAGCAAGGGTTGTAAAACTGACTCAGCTGACAGCCTTTTACTGGCTTCATGTTCAGGCAGGAATATTAGTTTGCTGTGTTCATCTGCAAGGAAAAACCCACCTTTCCATTAAAAAGAAATACCTCTGGCAATTCTGAGAAGAATCATGTAGCATTTGAAGATTTTAGTACCGTGTGTCTGAACAGGCAGCTCTTCTCTACAAAGAGACTCTAGTCTTTCAAGTATATAATCAAGTGGATGGAGGCTATAAAAACCCTTCTGATTTAGGACTGCAAATTCCTGTTCCTGTCCTCACTTCGGTATATTCCAGAGACCCAGCCTCCATTTTGAAGTCTTTTAAGTTGCGATGATTCTCTCTGACTTCAGCTCTTCCCCTCTCAAAAGTTTTAAGACCTCATTACAGTAACAAAAGACTCCCTATTGGATAAACTACACTATATTGACTCATTCTGGTAGAAAGGGGCTATTTTCTCTCTGAAGATTGGGAAGTGGCCTGTCAAAATTGCAAGTTTCCTGCTGCTGAGATGCTTTATCTTAGAAGTGATGAAAGCAGGGTCAGGAGCTTGTTTACACATGGCTCGGATGCATCACTTCCCACACCCTCTCCCCTTCTGCCACCCCCCTTAGTTAATACCATGCTGTTTCCTAGCTTTGAGCCTCATTGGTTTTTGCTATGCAAATTGCCTTACCGCCATAATCGGTCAATAACACTACTGTAACTTTTGGTCGTTTTTGGCAATTTTAAGGAAGTCATGTTTCCAGGCATGTTTTGAGTGGACTTTCCCTGCCTGAATGGTGCTAGAATATAAGCAAAATTATAGCTAGACAGCTCTGGTTGTCCTGGTTATAGTATCTGGAGCTGTGAATGTCTTCCTTTTTGACAATGAAAGTAGGGCCGCACCAATTAGATATTTTTGGGGCTGATACTGATAGCAGATTCCTTTTTTTAAATGAAGGCATATCAGCTGATACCAATCCAATTTCCCATATGCAGCCTGGCAGCTTGAAAAGCAGTGTCCAGCTGCTAAATCTGTTTGTGGTGGGAGGGCAGATCAAGGCACCTGTGGTGAGGGAGGGAGTGGGGATGGGGATGGGGATGAGGCAGGTGCTGCCTGGGCAGGGCACAAGATGGAGCTGTGGGTTGTCCAGGGGGTGCAGGGATGTTGGGGGACAGGGCACTCCTGCTGCTATGTGCACCCTGGGTGGGTGGTGCCCCTGGATCTGCGCATGGCAAGGGTGGGCTGCTGCTGCAGGCTGGGGTAGGCAGCAGTGGTGCTGGGAGGAAAGTTTATGGGGGGCTGCAGCCACCTGAAATTCACCATAGCCTCCCCAACCCCTCCCTCCTAGCACTGCAGCTGCTGCCTGCCCCGAGTACAGCATGGCCCAACCTCCCTCCCCCTCCTGTCAGAAAGAGCCCCTGCAGCCCCCGCCCCCCC